TAGAAATAAACCAGTTCACAGTACAACCAGAATTATTCTATGCACTAGGGACCAGCGTTAGAGTCTCGCTCCACACCCCACCGAACCTTGATACGGGGACCCCATCGGCACTGCATGTGGATTTCAAAGTTTCCTAACCTGGGGGACACAAACCCTCGAAGGAAAAATGGGGCGGGGGGTGCAGAGCTTTTTTAAAATTACCAAAAATCAGGAAATTATCCAATTTAAATAAAAATTTCAGTATATATTTTTGTTTTTTTTATCTAAAAAATCTGAGAAAATGTTATTCTTTTTGTAATAACCACAAATATTTTCATGACTGAATTTTATTCGAAAAAAATGTTTAAGTTGCAAATTCTTCCATTTTCATAAAGAATAATCGCTGATGCATCTCAGCTGAAAAAAAAGTTTTATAAAGATTACAACACAACATAAATGGGATTATCTTAAAAATTTGTTTTCGGGAAAATTTTTCATCTGTTGAAATCTTTAAACATTTTTATTTTTAAGTGACCATTTTCTCAGTTTTATTTTTCTGCAAATGTAAAAAAATAGGGACTAGAACTTTTATTTGAATTACTAACCATGGAATTCTGGTTAGTATTACTATTAGTAAAAAAAAATCAGAAATCCTCCTTAGTGAATAAGTTCGGAATAAAAAAAAATGATTTTACTGAGATATATTATTCTCCTAATTGATTTCAAAGTTTCCCAACCTGGGGGCCACAAAACTTTGAAGGAAAAATGTGACAGGGGAAGGCGTCGGATTTTTTAAATTACTAAAAATCAGGAAATTATCCAATTTAAATGAAAATATCAGTACATATTCATTAATTATTTAATTGTATAATGATAGTTTTTTTTTTATTTAAAAAAAGGATGAGAAAATGTTTTTCTTTTTGTAATAATCACCAAAATTTCATGATTAAATTTTTACTCGAAAAAAACATTTATGTTGCAAATTTTTGCATTTCCATAAAAATTAATCACCGACGCATCTCCGCTAAAAAATTGTTTTAAAAACAGTGTTTCAGATTTCGGCGAAATTTTTTCATCTGTTGACATCTTTAAACATTTTTATTTTTAAGTGATCATTTTCTCGTTTTTATCTTTCTAGAAATGTAAAAAAAATAGGGACTAGAAATTTTATTTTAATTACTAACCATAGAATTCTGTTTACTATTACTATTAGTAAAAAAAAAAATCAGAAATCCTCCTTAGTGAATAAGTTCGGAATAAAAAAATGATTTTACTGAGATATATTATTCTCTTAAGTGATTTAAAAGAACTATTCAGAAAGAAAATTACAATTTAGAAAAATAAGCGTTACTGAAATTAACACTGCTGCAGCCCCCAGTAAGCATGGGGCCCCAACGCGGTTGAGAAGAAGCACGGGCCCTGTCGATTATTATGATTGATGATTGACAATATAACTGAGGTAGAAAAAAGAGTAAAAAGTACAAAAAAAAAAAAAAAACGATGCTGAAACTAGCCCTTTGGGGCTTCAACCTCTTCGTCAGGGGTTCTTCTGTAGTACGCACCGCACTGGACATGCAGATAAACGATGTATATTATTAGTTGATGACTGACAATGTAACGTTAGTTTCAAAATAATTTAAAAAATGGCGGATGTCGATAAAACAATGCTGAAAAAAATATCAGAGGCTACAAGGGGGCCCCAGAAAATGCGGCCTCCTCGGTGGGGGAGAAGACGCGCAGGCCATGTTCAGTTACAAAGAAAAAGACAGTCTGACCAGAACTTTACAGCTAATGAACTGGATGAACCTTTGAAACAAACATCTGGATTATTTCTACTAGATAAAGTAATCTCAACTACTATTCACTTTTGACTTGTGTTTTTTTCATTTTCATTTCAGTTGTTTTTCAGCATTAAACAACGCCATTAAACAACACCATTAAACGACATCATTGAACAACGCCATTAAACGCCATTAAACAATGTGGATCAGAAGTAAAGAATACACATTTGGCGAACGTCAAAATCACTCACCTTTTGAACCACGGAACCTAAGAAAAATACCTGCTTGAAAGCTTAGGCTACGAAGGCTGAAAAATTCTAATCCTACAGCTTTATTCCTTCCCCCGCCCCACCAAAAAAAAAAAACGCTTCATGCACCCGTCTTTGATTTTGTTTACTTTTACTAGTAACAATATTATCCTGAATTTTATCATTAAATGAAGCATTGTCAATTATCATTCTTTGACAAGGTTTTTTTCATCCTAACTTCCACTGCTTTTTTTCATCGTAATGATCCAGATCGTCATCCTATGGCCGTTCCTTAAAGAGCACCGATCAAAAAAGCTATAGACATTATTTCTAATTTCTCGTCCTGGGTATGACGATACACTATATCCGGCAGCAAGGCCTCTAATCGGGAGGAGCGTGGAACTACCTCTTAAATGTTGTTGTTCCCAGGTCCACTCTGATCCGAGGTGGTAGCACCTGTTAGGGTCCCAGCTATGAGTAAATAGTGAACACTTAAACTGGAGTCAAAACATGAAAACTATAAAAAATACATTAGAGAAACTTACCAGCAATACATTACTGGAAAAAAATGACCAAAGTTTACAAGAAAATAAAATTTTGGCATTAAATGACCCATACGGAGTTGATATGCCGTTAAATAAACAAAACGAACCAAACTATTTTTAATTTCTGATCCGCGCAATTTACTAAGAGGAAGAGGTTAAAAATAACTGTTTGAGTTTGTTTTTTATTTTATTTTATTTATTTTTTTTAAGCTGTGTCCCCTCAGGATGTAACCGATCATAGCTCCCCACAGATTCTTTCATTTGCCTTATTATCTATGAATTGTCATGTCTAGTTGCGAAAGAGTACAAGGGGTCCACGTTGTTTTTTTCCGCTTTTTGGAATTCTGAGTTTTCCCTCTGTTAGTCGATGTCATGGATAGCGTCATGGATAGTCGTTCAACTCTGAACCGACTGTTCGGTTAAACTCTCTTCCTACGGGCGGGAGGAACCCGATGACGGCTACGCCGAAGGGCGGAGTCTCCTTCGGGGAGGTAAAACCGGCCCTGAACCCGTTTATACGGGTTCAAATGGGCTATTTTTTGGCCGAGCCTAATGGCTCGGAAATGCCCACGTTAAAAAGGCCTTGTGCCACATGACACCCTCGTGGGGGGGGACTGAATATCGTCATGGATAACGGCTCTGAATGAAAGATCGGAGAAAGTGGTTCAGGTCCCAGTCAGGTTCGTTACATTCCCTTGCACGCAAACATCCTTGGGGTCCTTTCTGCTACGGATTAAATAGTAAGACTTGTAATCGATCACTGAAACAATGAAAGAGGGACTCATTTGAATGAAACGCTGGAAGAGAAAAGACAATTTCTGGCCAATTGATCATCTTCATAGTGCAAACGTAAACGATCATACTGCCATTCCTTTTCAGAGTACACCCGTCTGCTGGGACGTTTAGTCAATCCCTGTTGTTGTAGACGCTGGCTTAGGCACATTTGTGTTTATTCATCAACCACAGAAATCAATGGCGGTTGAAATTGTAACTATGCCGAATGCTGAACGAACCGCTGTTATATTTTTTGGAAGAGGGTGCATAATATGGCGTGATTAACTGTTTTAGACACGCGGTTACAAAGACTTGTATTTTGGGGCACGAACAACCATCCATGGCTTTATGGGGAATTCTGTCCATCCAATTTCATTCACTTACGGCAATCGGATTTTTCCAACTTTCTATCTATCTATCTATCTATCTATCTATCTATCTATCTATCTATCTATCTATCTATCTTGTTCATATCATTCGCAGTCTGCTCAAATCTATGATGACCTGATCATATCAATTTTAACCCGTCCATATCATTTAATTCTAGTCTGTTTACCGCTCTCTTTCTCTCTTTCTCTATCTATCTATCTATCTATCTATCTATCTATCTATCTATCTATTCAAGTTTGTTCATATCTATCTATCTATCTATCTATCTATCTATCTATCTATCTATCCCAGTCTCTTCATATCTATCTATCTATCTATCTATTCCAGTTTGTTCATATCTATCTATCTATCTATCTATCTATCTATCTATCTATCTATCTATCTTGTTCATATCATTCGCAGTCTGCTCAAATCTATGATGACCTGATCATATCAATTTCAACCCGTCCATATCATTTAATTCTAGTCTGTTTACCGCTCTCTTTCTCTCTTTATCTATCTATCTATCTATCTATCTATCTATCTATCTATCTATCTATCTATCTATCTATTCAAGTTTGTTCATATCTATCTATCTATCTATCTATCTATCTATCTATCTATCTATCTATCTATCTATCCCAGTCTCTTCATATCTATCTATCTATCTATTCCAGTTTGTTCATATCTATCTATCTATCTATCTATCTATCTATCTATCTATCTATCTATCTATCTATCTATCTTGTTCATATCATTCGCAGTCTGCTCAAATCTATGATGACCTGATCATATCAATTTCAACCCGTCCATATCATTTAATTCTAGTCTGTTTACCGCTCTCTTTCTCTCTTTATCTATCTATCTATCTATCTATCTATCTATCTATCTATCTATCTATCTATCTATTCAAGTTTGTTCATATCTATCTATCTATCTATCTATCTATCTATCTATCTATCTATCTATCTATCTATCTATCTATCTATCTATCTATCCCAGTCTCTTCATATCTATCTATCTATCTATTCCAGTTTGTTCATATCTATCTATCTATCTATCTATCTATCTATCTATCTATCTATCTATCTATCTATCTATCTATCTATCTCAGTCTCTTCATATCTATCTATCTATCTATCTATCTATCTATCTATCTATCTATCTATCTATCTATCTATCTATCTATCTATGTCTTCTCATATCCCTATTGATCTCTCTCTCTCTCTTTCTCTCTCTCTCTATTTTACATTAATGTCTGATGTCTAATAATTAAAATAATTACTTCACACAAAAATCTATCTATGCCTTTTCATCTATCTATCTATCTATCTATCTATCTATCTATCTATCTATCTATCTATCTATCTATCTATCTGCGCATTCATATACACTGGTTGCGATATAAATATAAATACTCTTTTAACTTGAGAATAATTACTTGTCCTCAGGTCAGTATTCTTTGACTATTATACGGTACGGTAGCTGGACGGAGAAGAGTGTAGATAATTTAAACATCGTGCGAGCCCTGGGGTGGACGGACTTTCATCTCTTTGAAGTTAGCGCCTGTCTGAACTCAAATGATACCTCGGGTTATTTCCCTCTGTTCTTACTAACCAACGGTGATCATCTTTTGCAGTGTACAACTAAATCACCTTTAATCAGAGAAGATTTGAACGGCTTTCCCTTAACTTGAATCGTAATATGCTAAGCACATAGACATGAAACATTAGATATTATAAATCACCAGTTTGTGTGTTGCAGTGAGATGTAAAGGTATCTATCTATCTATCTATCTATCTATCTATCTATCTATCCCAGCCTGTTCATATCTATCTGTCTGTTTATTATCTATCTACAGTGTAACCCGGATATAAGAGAGTTATCGGGACAGGAGAAGAAGTCTCTTATATCCGGGTTTCTCTTATATCCGGGTTTGATTTATTTTATATACATTGACACAGGCTCTAATTTGAGACCAGAGAAAATCTTTCTTACATCCGGGTTTCTCTTATATCCGGGTCTTTTATATCCAGGTTACACTGTATCTATCTATCCCAGCCTGTTCATATCTATCTATCTATCTATCTATCTATCTATCTATCTATCTATCTATCTATCTATCTATCTATCTATCTATCTATCTATCTATCCCAGCCTGTTCATATCTATCTATCTATCTATCTATCTATCTATCTATCTATCTATCTATCTATCTATCTAATTCCAATTCCAGTGATCTAAAAAACGCCAGGATGCAGTCAACAAAATCTTGTTTGTTATAATGAGAATACCAAGTTCTTGGTAATGACCGTGATCGTCAAATACTTGAACAAATATTTAAAAAAAAACCCTTGACTTTTGCACAGGTTATTCGTAATTTTTGTCCCTGTATATCATATATTATTCAAAAATTGGAAAAATGCAATAAAAATTAAACAAACGGTCTTGTTTGGATGAAATCATGCTGCATAAATACGCCTTATATACATATTCGACTCTCCTGTCGTATTCGACTTTCCCGTCCATACACTAGCACATATGATTTGATTATACTGGTGAAGGCTTTCTGCAAAACCATCCACATATTTTGAAGGCCCGAATACAGAGACCTAATGCACTACGTGACACAAGTTCCCTAAACGACCCTCCTTATATATATATATATATATATATATATATATATATATATATATATATATATATCTAGTTGTAAAAGATGTTTAAATACAATAGAAGCGTTCCTAATAAATCTTAGAGACCTACATTGAACATTACTTGCTTTGAAACCGGTCAAGGTATATCGACTGTGTTTTGAATACTAAACAAAAATTCCAATATGAATTGCTACTACGCACATGCAACATAGTATAGGAAACGAAAAGAAAATGTACTAAGTGAAAATTTACTGCCACCCTTTAATAATGACTAAAGAATTGGTAAGGTAATGAATCCATTAGGACATAAGCGAGTGTAAGAGAAAAAGATAACATTATTGATGAGAGATAACAATAAACACAGGAATTAAGAAGATAGAAATTGACATTGCTTTTAAATCTTTGCGGATCACAGTTGACTGGAAAACCGGAAGAGAGATCCACAAACAGGAAGTGACAGAGAAGAAACTGTTAACATAGAACTTACGATTAAATTTAACCATTTCAAGTGTAAGATGATGAGACCTTACCACCAATCTAGTATTGCGCTTGAATTCATGAAGTTTAGATACCAAAGGTCAAATGCCCAATTCTAATTATATCCTTGACTTTAAACACATCCTAACTCCCAAACCTGATTATATTATTGTGTAATGAACATAATGTCTGCCATAGTCGCAACATTTCTGCCATCTAAATGTATGTTCCCTTCTATGAACAATGTACATATGACATCCGACCACAATTACTGGACATCGCCAACGACGTACAAGTTGTATCGTCCCAAACTTATGCAACCAGAATTCGATAGCATAACAATTTGACGATGATAAAACTTTAGAATATAACAAAACGTAAGACATGCAAATTTAAATTTAAATTTGATAGTTGAAAAATTTGAACGCATTGAAAGACGGGAATAGGAAACTATAGACATATTTTCAAACTCGAATAAATGACGTTAATCCCATTCGCATAAGGGAGTAGAAGACATTAAACATCACCAGATGCGAATAGAGAAAATTAAACCGATTCGTACACACGAATAGATCTCTTTAAACTACAAAGGAATAAAAGACTGAAAACTATTCTCACAGTCGAATAAAAGACTTTTAACGCATTCTGACTCGAGAATAGAAGATTTTAAAAATATTCTCACAGTCGAATGAAAGATTTTAAACCCATTCTCATTCGAGAATAGAAGACTTAGAAATATTCACACAATCGAATAAAAAACTTTAAGCCCATTGTCACTTGAGAATAAAAGATTTTAAAACTATTCTCACAGTCGAATAAAAGACTTTTAACGCATTCTAACTCGAGAATAGAAGACTTAAAAATATTCTCACAGTCGAATAAAAGACTTTAAACCGATTCTCACTCGAGAATAGATTTTAAAAATATTCTCACAGTCGAATAAAAAACTTTAAACCTATTCTCACTCGAGAATAGAAGACTTCAAATATTCTCACAGTCGAATAAAAGATTTTAAACCCATTCTCACTCGAGAATAGAAGATTTTAAAAATATTCTCACAGTCGAATAAAAGACTTTTAACGCATTCTCATACGAGAATAGAAGCCTTTACAAATATTCTCACAGTCAATAAAAGACTAGGACCTATTGTCACGCGGGAATAGAAGACTTTAATTGTCTTCTTATAAGCAATTTTAGTTATATCGACGCAATTTGATAATTTGAAATATTTTCTCAGATTCAAAGAGAAGTTGTTTTTTTTTTAAAAACATTTTTATATTCACTTCTGGTTATATAACTGCATGCGATAGACTACAAATGTATCTTCATGCCAGAACCTGATTATATCATTGCATATTGGTGACGGTCGTAGGATGCCTGCCTGAGATGGTTAGAAAATTAATATTTCGGCCATGTCATATATATATTCATATCTTACCATGCTCGATGTGTCAAGGTGTTGACTTTTTGGTATCAGTCTAAAGAGACGATCACAAGGTGCGGCACCCTTGGGAAACGCCCCCAAATCTATACCACGATTTTATCCATATCATGTTAGTAATACTGAGCAGAAGAAACAGTTCGTAAGCCATCGATGATTGTGTAAGCATGGAGTCACAAGTCATCGTGACCTAGGGTTTGAGCGCGCTGTAGAAGTCTATCTACTGTTCACACCAGATTATTCTTTCTTTGTTCTAGAAATTTGTTACTATGGTTCTCTTGGTTGTTGAAGAATCACTAATGAGCCCGAGCAGGCATATGCAACAGCGTTTAAATTGAAATCTTCGTATACTCCCTTGTCTTTCGAGACTGACGGTTGATTACTTCTTATTCGCCTCTCCTTTTCGACCATTATACTATTCAGCTTTATTCTGCTGACTGTCGTGTCCTGTAACATTGTGGCGTCCTGGGTATGACGATAAACTACATCCGGCATCCTGGGTGTGACGATAAACTACATCCGCGTCCTGGGTAAGACGATAAACTACGTCCAAAAGCAAGGCCTCTGATCAGGAGGCTTTGAGCAGTGTGGAACCACCTCTTAATTGCTGGTGTTCCAGGGTCTACCCTGATCCGGAGTGGTAGCACCTGTTAGGGGTCCCAGCTATGGGTAAATAGTTAACCTCCAAACTGGGGTCAAAAACACTATGAAAGTGTAAAAATAGGTAAAAATGATGCGTTTCTGTAAAAAAAAATTACCAACCATATATTATTACCAACAAAATATACTAAATATTATTGAAAAAAATATTACCAGCAATATATTTTTGAAAAAAAATATACCAGAAATAGATTTTTTGAAGAAAAAAATATTACCAGAAATAGAGTTTTGGAAAAAAAAATATTACCAGCACTAAAAATTTTGTCGGCATTAAATAACCCATCGAGGTTGATATGCCGTAAAACAAATCAAACCAAACTGTGACATTGTGGGAATTTCGAACCGAACCGTTTATGGATACACGAAAGACAACGATCTACCTCAGTGAATTAAATAAACGATGCTAACAACGAAGAAGAGGACACCAGTTCGAATAAATTAGTATATATTAATGTCATAGCGTTGAAAGGCCTTAAACATATGTTATCATTCGACTCTGGTGCATGTGTGTGGGCCAAAATTTTTATCAAACTAAGTGTCAGCCGTGTGAATGTTAGACAATACTTGACATTTCCTGAATTAAAAGTTTATTTCAAATGCAATGTACCTTGACGCCATATTGCTTTCACTAGCAGACACATCATGGCGAATGATGTTTGCGCCCGTCACCTCTTTTCCAGAAAGCCCCTTTAAAGCATACCCCCGCTCTCGACTGCAACTGGACCGAAAACTTCAAAGATATTTGATATCACAACCTTGATGATGATCAGGCCATTTTTGTTAGCATCTTGTTTGTGCATTTGTTTTCTTTTTCTAATGTTCTTTTTTCCTTCTCTTTTATTTTCTTCCCCATTTTTTTTTTATCTCTTTCGCTCTTTATTTTGATTTTCACTATCATCATTTTTTTGTTTACATTGTTTGCTTTTTACTTCTCTTGCTCATTCTTATATAGTAAGTTTTCTTTTCTTTTTTATTCGTTGTTTTTTTTCCTGCTCATCGTTCTTCTTAGTTTTTCGCTTTCTTGTCATTGTTCGTTTTAGCTCTTCTTTTATTTTTTCACCGAATTATTTTTATATTTATTATCCACAGTTTCTTTTTTCTTCTTTGTTTCTTTCTTTTTTCTTCTTTCCATATTTCTTTCTTTTTCCTTCCTTCCTTCCTTCCTTCCTTCCTTCCTTCCTTCCTTCCTTCCTTCCTTCCTTTCCTTTAGGTTTTTCTTATTTCTGTTTCTCTTTCTTTCTTTCTTTCTTTCTTTCTTTCTTTCTTTCTTTCTTTCTTATACGCCCCCCTTATCATTTTTCTTCTTTAGTTTTCCTGTTTCATTTCCTTCATTATTTCTTTTTGATTTTCCTATTTCGTCATCTTTCTTTCTTTCTTTCTTTCTTTCTTTCTTTTCATTCTGCTTTCTTTGTTTTTATTTCTTTTTCATTTTAATTCTTCCTTTTTGCTTTTTCATTTTTCTTTGTTTCTTTAACTTTTTCTTTTCTTTTTTCTTTCTTTTATTCTTTCTTTTTCCTGATTCGTTTTTTTTTATTTCTTTTTCATTTCTTTTCTTTTCATATTTTCCCAGTCAATGATTCTCTCTTTCTTTCTTTCTTTCTTTCTTTCTTTCTTTCTTTCTTTCTTTCTTTCTTTTATGTTTTCTCGTTTCTTCTTCTTTCTTTTAGATTTTCGTTTTCTTCTTTCTTACTTGAAGTTGTTGTTTTTCTGAAAATGTCTCTTTACCACAATCTTTCTTTTGCCTCTATTTCTTGTTTCTTGTGAACAATTTTCCCTCCCTTCGTTCACTTCCACTCTTATCATCAATAATTACATCTTTTCCCTCCACAACGCCTTAGTTTTTCCCTCGTTATTTTCTTTCTTTTAAACTTTCTTTTATTCTTTTGATGTTTTCGTTATTCATACTTCCTTCTTTTTATCTTTTTTCCTCGTTATTTCTTTCGTTCTTCTCCTTTTTATGCCATTTTTTTATTTTCTTCTTATTTTCTGATGCCTGTTTATAATTTTTGCCTAATGTTCACAACGCATTTAGTTTAATACAAATTTGGGCACGTACACAAAGAGTTTGACATGCATTTACACCCTCGCACTAAATCAGACGATAAATCATGCTATGCTACCATCACCGGCATCTTCTTCCGCCATTTTCATTTACCCGTCTAATTCTACAAGGAAGAGAGAGACGCCGAACTGATTCATAAAGATTACAACAAAAAAATGGAAGAACAAAAGATATATAAAACCCAAGTAGTTTCATTAGTCGGCACAATGTTTAATCTCTCAAGTCTTATGAAACCGTATGGAGTCCATTAAAAACTTCATACTAGCGCATACAGGTTTATACCAAACGTTAAGAAGATATTTGAAAGGTTTACGAATATTAACAAAAATTTTGTTTTATTATCTTATTATGATCTTGTTCTCTTTTTACTTTTCTTCCTCTTGGTCTTTTTAAATTGCGAGATGATTGAGAAAAACCGAGATAGATAGATAGATAGATAGATAGATAGATAGATAGATAGATAGATAGATAGATAGATAGAAATGAGAGGACTGAGATAGATAGATAGATTGAGATTGATAGGTAGATAGATATGAATAGACCGAGATAGGTAGATAGAAAGATATATAATATATATATATATATATATATATATATATATATATATATATATATATATATATATAGGTGTGTGTGTGTGTGTGTGTGTGAAAAGTATATAAAATATAAATATATATATATGTATAATTATTTATATATTATATATGCGGGTACTTATTAGAAAGCGCTCAATATCAGAGATAGAGCTAACATATTTGGTTGGATAGATGTGAGTTTGTGACCCTGGGTTTCTGACGATCGCTAAAGCGTGAAACCCAGTGTCACAAACTCACATCTATCTACTAAATATATATATATATATATATATATATATATATATATATATATATATATATATATATATATATATATATATATATATATATATATTTGTCTGCCAGTATAGTATATTCCCCATATCAGGTGATTTGGGATTTTATTGTTTATTATTTGCTCTATAATAATAAATACATTGAGCTCTTTTTGTGGATCAAATTTAATATGTTATATTACTAGGATGCACTTGGATTATATACCAATGGATTTGTTACATTTACTATATATATATAAATATATATGTATGTGTGCTTGTATGTTTGTGGGTGCCTCTCTGTGTGTACTGAGATATATAAAGAGAGAGTGTGTGGTTAATCAAATTACAAAGAACTCTTAACTCAAATGTTTCATCCAGGAAGCAAGAAACGGACAATTTTTATCGATGGAGTTAGTCTTAATAATTTCTCTCGCTATACTTGTTCTTTGACTTCTTAGCACTATTGGTTTTAAAACAGGTTATACCTCCATGTACACTGGACGTCAACAATTAAAAAAATAATATTTAAAGCTAAGCGTCCCTGTATCTTTAACTTTTTCGATTCAAAATTGTATCCGGCCTTTGTTGTATTTCATACCAGCTCCTGGGCATATACAACTGAGTCTATCGATTATCATTATCATATAAGCATTATCTGACTGAAAAAGTACCTTCGAGGGACGAAATATTTTTTTTATTAATATTTACGCTGTACAAGGAGCAAAAGACACTCGAGATAGATGATTGCTGAAGAAGTTTGTGGTGTCAGACTAAGAGACATGAAGTGCCAATTATGAGGATATGTGGGCAGATTAACCCGGGAGCTGAACAGGATAAGAATGTAGTGGTCACTCTCTTTGGTGCATATTCCACAAAATAGCGGTTTGTAGGAAGAAGTTATTTCAGTGTAACTTACTTCTCACTAATGTAATACAAAGCGAATGAGGGTAGTTCGCCACAATGTATGTAGTATAATACTTAGACTTTACTAATTAAGCTCAGTCCTAGATTGGCGGTAAGGTCTCATTATTTTACAGTTGAAATGGCTTGATATGACCGTAACTGCTGACAGTTTCTTCTATCGCGCTTCTGGCTTGTGGACCTCACTTCCGGCTTCTCTATCAGTCAGTCAGTTATGTGCCATGCGTGATACACGCTTAGACGATCATGTATCTTTCGAGGCAGTTTCTTTTGCCTGCAGTAGGTTGCCATTTCTTTCTGCGGTAGACCAGTTGTCATCCAAGGCTATAGAACCCGATTCTGCTATTTACCCATAGATGGGGTGGTGGTGGAGGAAAAGGATTCATCGCACTTCTAATAACTGGTATCTTGGCTTCAGTCACTTTCCCACCGCCGTAATGTAGCCTTTCTGTGCCTTTTCTATAAATATTTTCACGGTAATTGCCTTGATAAACATTCCTCTTTGGTACATCGACTTTACACAATTAATTGCAGTACTAGATTGGCAGCTAGGTCTCATCCTTTTACAGTGGAAATGGCTAGATGTAACCGTAAATTCTATGCTAACACTTTTTTTAAACATTTTTCGCTTGTGGAACTTTCTTCTGGCTTTTTGATTCCTAGTCAATTTTGATTTTCAAAAATTTGAATGCAATGTCAGTTATTATCTTCTGTCTTCTTAATTCTTATATTATCCTCTCTCCTTAATAGTTTTTTTCTCGTATTCTCTAGTTTAAAGTGCTTAATATCAGGGATAGAACACACACACACACACACACACACACACACACACACACACACACACACACACACATATATATATATATATATATATATATATATATATATGCTTGAGCGTGCGGGCCTTGTTCAAATTGTTGATGACCCTAGATAGCACGCTCTCTTCCAGAAACTGTAACTAAAGTTTGCTCAGCATGGCTGCAGTATAAACCACATATGGGCTCTGTGGGTGTTGAGCAAACACAAATGTGCCTGAATGACCGTCTGCAATAGGGATTCGGGATTTCAGCTATTATATATATATATATATATATATATATATATATATATATATATATATATATATTAAAATACTTTCATGGTAATTGCTCCGAGGAGCTGCATTCTCTGGTTCCCAGACTTCATGAATTCAAGCGCCCTACGAGGCTGGCATCCCGCTCTCACCCTTTCACTGTCAAAACTCCTAAATGTAGCCGTCTTTTCTACTCCAATAGCTTCATGTCTCGCACCTCTCTCTTGTGGAACTCTCTTCCTATTCTAGTTTCCCTGAGACCTATAATCTCCAACTATTCAAATGTAATGTCAATCGACATCTCCAGTTGCCTTGATCTATCCACTACCCTTCTCCTCATCCTTTCCTCTATCACTCCTATCTGACCTTGCCCCAAATCTTCTGTAACCCCTTGTGTCCTAGTGGTTTTCCTTTCCGCCTTGCTTGGGTGAAACACTTAATATATATATATATATATATATATATATATATATATATATATAGATAGATAGATAGATAGATAGATAGAGAGAGAGAGAGAGAGAGAAAAGAAAGAAAAAAACGTGATAGAGGGGAGTAAGACAGATTTGATTCTCAGGAAACGCCACAGAAATAAAAACATTAATATAAAGGAAAGAATACATTACTGTTTATTTTCCTGCCTATCAGTAGATAAAATAGTGAACTTATACTCGTCTTGGGAATGTATGTGAAAATCAAATTCATATTTGTGCATCCAATATATGGAAAACCGTCGTTGCCATAATCCTTATACGGAAATCTTAAAGACGAAAATTCCTTCTTTCTATTTTCCACATCTTTTGCTTTTTATTTATCCTTTTCTTTTTCTTTCTTTTCCGCATTCTCTCTCGCTCCCGTGGGGATGATTTTGTTTTCACTTTCTTTTTCATTCATTAAATCACTTCATATTGCTATTAAACTTTCCTTAATGGTTTTCAATTGCTTTTTTATGAGTGCGATTTGTCAGGGTCCTCGTTTATTTTTTTTTTCATTTTTTAATAGAATAAAAATATTTAAGTCTGTGTTTTAAAATGCAACTGATGTGCAATGGTAAGTGCTTTAGGAAAAAGAGGAGAAATTAATTATTTAAAAAAAAAGAACATAAAATGAAACAATGCTATTCTGCTCGTTTAAGTTCTATTCCAATAAGCTTTAGTGACTTTTATTGCTCCGGGTGTGCAAAAAATCATGGGCACTACTTATTATTATAATTGCTTTTATGTGAATACTCATACTACTTACAGTCTCGTTAATACAACAAACCCTCCTCCTTATTATTATTATTATTATTATTATTATTACTTTTATCATTATTATTATTGAATAAACCAGTTGAGTTTATACACTAATGAAACATAGTGGACTTTCATTGGAGATTAAGAGATAGCTCATCTCTTCGATACGCAAGTACTTTAGCAAGTATTCTTCATCAGTAATTGCATATGAATTTACACAGCAGTAATATCTGGTGACGTTTACTGGAGATCTGAGGTGCGTTTATTAATCATTTCGCCCTAAGCAAGGCAATAAAGCCTCTAAGACACAAAGAATTACTGAATATGAAAGAATACGAGTAAAAGTATTATTAAAGAGAAAGAACAATAAAAGCTCAGGAATTACAAAGACAAGATAATGATTGATTTTGCATTTAAATTTTTGAAGATCCAAATTGACTGGAAAGCAAGAGGCCAGACGAGAGTTCTACAAGGGAAAAGTGCGAGACAAGAAACTGTTACCATAGAACTTACGGTTATATCTAGCCAATTCAACAGCAAAATGATGAGACCTAGCTGCCAATCTAGTACTGTCCTTAAATGCGTAAAGTCAATGTACCAAAGAGGAAAGCTCATCAGAATGACAATGTTTATAGAAAAGGCATAAAGAAGCTACCACTTAATTGTTATTGTTCCCAGGTCCACCCTGACCAAGGGTGGTAGCACCTGTTAGGGTCCCAGCTAAAGGCAAATAGTGAACCTCCAAACAAAAAGAAAACACTATAACAGTATAAAAGTACATTTTTATAGTAAAAATACCAGCAATACATTTTTATATAAAGAAAACTATCAACAATATTTCTTTTTAGTAAAATTACCAA